AGAAATTTACTTCCCAAGTACAGCCAAGTAAAAAATGAAACAAGACGGAAATATATGAAGTGCGATATTTTAATATCAATGTCATGATAAAATGTGATAATCATTTTTGTCGAAATAAATAACACCGAAATGCGAAATCACAAATAGCACATACACACAAATAGATCAGTGCTTGGGACGGTACACGTATATATACATTGTGTGGTGAGTTGACATAGAACTAGTTGTAGGAAACGTACTCGAAACAATTTAATATAAATAAATGACATACAGTCATAATCGTGATGTCATGATTAGCATTCCTTTGAACAATTCACGAGCTAAAAAAACTTTCGACATGACAACATATTCACTCAGTCAACCCCGCCATTGTAGGTCAACAACACTTCGACATGAATTATGTATTTTCGAGTGTATATTTACTCAATTCATTTCCGTCCAACATGAAATTCATTCCTCCAGTCCCGAAAGATATACTGGCTCTTATTAATAATAAAACAAATACTCTTGTATTTTACAACTATATATATATTTTTATTTTTTTTATTAGATCGGAAATTATGAATGTGTGTGAACAAACTACAAGTGTTTCTCATTTTATTGCACGTTTTGTACCACATTTGTACCGCTAATTCGAATTACGGGATTCTCTGAACCAGTTTCTGTTTCTGAATATCATGTAAATTTCGAACTCTAATTATCCACAATGTGACCTCGGGATACATGATTTTTTTTCAGATTAAAAAAAAAAAATCTTGTCTGTACTTGAGCTACGCATAGTAGTAGCAAATTAGTAGTTTCCTGAGCTTTAAACGTGAAGTATAATATATCACATCTGAATTTTCAAGGACACGGAATAAGGAACAGAATGTAGTAAATGAACGGAGCATCATTCGCAATACATCGTCGGGCAGCTCACAAGGGGCAAACAAGACGATGCAAAATAGGAAGACTAAACTATGAGCCGTTGCCATAGCAACCAAACCTCATTTTCTCTGTGAATATACCTCTGATTAAATTCTTCGCAATTTATGAAAATCCGATTTCATTCTTCCTATTTTGAAAAGGAAATGCCTATTTTTCTCCTGAACGCAGCAAGAATACAAAGCCGGTGCAATAGACTCGAGAACTCCTAAAGTCAGACCACATCGTGCAATGGCAATACCATTCTGTTTTGTTTTCATATTGCAAAATTTGACTGATACCAAACACATGGGAGCGATGAAATTGGGCAACGGCATTGTATTGATTACGGAACGTTCGAGGTCGCAGTTCATTATATCGGCACACGTGAATCGTGGCTAGTCGGAATTCGGACGTGAATTCTGAGTGCTTGTAACATACTGTAATTTCATACATAGAAATATATCATTCTATGTAAACAACAGTAATGAAATTATATAGAGTGTACATATATAGTTTTTCACAAGTATTTAGCGGCAGTGCGATATTGACAAACGCTCCGATTAATGTTTGTATAGTTATGCACCGCTGGTCTGTTTTCTCTGTAGAAATAAACAGTATGTGCTTGGCATGCATGGAAAGGTGTGTTTTATGTCATGAAATATTAAAGATGTCTTTATCAATGCATGAGATTATTAAACAACACGTCAGTAACGCTATTTTATATATATATAAGATTATCTAAAAATAATATGATGACGAGGACATCAAATTATTTTATTACCAGACGCGTTTATTATCGGTCTCCAACGCTCATCAGTAATTAATTAATTAGCGCTTCTCCTATTAATGCCAGTATATTTATAATTTGTTGTTAATTGCTATTCATGTCGAATACGAAACATGACATTGTGTAATGAACAATTGTGATTGTATACACTGGTTATATCAAAACAAACACGCAAGATTAGCCAGTGTTTAAGATCATATAGGTGAGGATTTTAGTTGTACTATACTGCCATACTACTATCTCGTCACCATCAGTATACAGTCGTCGTCTATGACCAATATCACTAAACATGATATTATTGTTTTGGCCCTGACAATTTTCTGATTGGCGTATAATAGACCATTTTCCGTTTACTGCGAGAATCACGCGTTGTGCGTGAAATCGAACGTAAAAACAGGACAAACAAAGGTCATAGCGTCGTAGTGGCGACAAACATCGCGTGGGATTCAACAAACGCGAACATATTTTGGGGGAAATTTCCATGCTTAATAATGTGCTGTACACATTTGATGATAGACAATTTCAATTAAGTGAGGGTATTCGAAAGCAATATTTCTCTGTCGAAGATCGGCCGGTCGATGTGAGCCACGAAATAAAGAAATTCGAGTTCAAAATCAAATCGTTCGTCTTTCATGCATCTCGCGACATCTCGCAGTTGAACGGAAAATAACTATCCAAGTCATCAGTAGATTTCAGTACCTATATGGTCGTCAAAAGCTAATTCAAAAGCTAATGTGTGGCTAATTCTGATTTCCGACACGTATTGTTTTGTTGGAAGACACATGAGCTACTAGTATATGACGTTCGGCGTCCCTGTGTGTATGTAAATTGTCTTTGTGAGAAGAAAACTTGGCATTTGCCCATTATTCGGCTATTTGACGTTGCCTGTGTTGTGTACGAATTTATTTCTATACACAATCTCGGCTAAATGCTGCAGGCCGGGTGCCCAGTGCGTACTTCATATACGGGGTGAAAACGATATGGAATTTGAGACGATATTTTGCAACCAATGGAGATAACGATGAGCACCAGTTTTATTTCATGTGGAACAGTGAGAGGTCGCAATACGTGAAATGGCTAAAAACAGAATACGGAAAATTAGAACAAGTATTCCTGATTCGAATTTCTAATTGTGATGTTTGTTTACACTTGCGTTGCCCATCTCTCATCTCACGTGCATTGCAAGTACTTCTTTTATGTTAGGAATATTAAAACGTCATCGTCATCGTGAATGATTTATGACCGAAATAATAGGAAAAGATAACGAAACTCCCCAAGCAGTGAATTCGATTCTTTCTGCATGTCTGGTTTCACTATCACGTGGTGTATTGTAGCCTCCGATCTCATACCTTGGAGACCGTAACTAATGGCAACGCCTATGTTGTTGGTTACTATTTTGATGGTACATAGTGATGTACTCCGATACAAAGTGACGGTAACTGAATAGATCACAGCTTGGTGTCACCAATAACGACGAGGCTGCGATTCGACCTACGCAGTAAATTTTGTTGGTAGACCCCATGTATTCGTCGATACTTAACATTTTAACATTAAGCATACACTATAACGGTGAACTTCAAACAAATGCGGTGGTGGATCGGAAGAGGGGGTCATAGTGTTAATATAAAAATACCCAAATCATGATTGTTTTTATGTCATGGTAACCCGCTGAGGCATACAAATTTCGGTATATGGCGTTTTTTTTCTGAAAAGAAAATGTTGCATTTTGTGGGGGGGGGGGTTGAAGATGTGCACTAGGGTGAAGGCAATACACAATCATGAGTTGTATGAGCGGCAATGGCAACGCGCACGCTAAAAACACAAATGCTCATTGGTAGACGTATATTTGTAAACAACGACGCGCTACGGTCGTCTGCCACCGACGCAGGAGACGGCTCTCCCCCGCTTTAAAGCTTTTAAACACCAAATGCAACCGTGATTTTAGTGACCTTTCACAAAATAATTTTGCATATTTTGTTTCATATTTTTGCAAAAAAATTACCAACTTCTACGAAATTAGAAACTATGTACTCTGGGTTCCAAATTGACAAAGAACTTTCTGGAAAAACAAAACTTAGAAAATAAGCAGAATAATGAAGCGCCAAAGTCGACGAGCTGTGCGCGTGTAAACATACATTACATGTTGCACGCGTTGTAGTCGTCGTATGGGACTCACGTCGAACACAAAGCCATTTTGTTTTTGAGGAATAAATGTCGCCGACATCCGTTATTAGGAAACAAATTTAAAAGAGAAGGGTTAGGGCATGAAATAAGTACGTCTGCCACAAAGGAATTCAATCTGAACAACTCGGCCTCCATCCCCTGAACTACACTGAATCTGTGCATTGCACATGTACGTGTGATCACGACTGAAAAACCGAGTTTAGTGTGTCGTGACATACAGTCGATTGCCGTTCGTATTACTAGTGTTGCTAGCTGCATACTACATGTAATTTTTTTCCCCTGGACTTTTCAAATATCACAAAGGGACATTAAATACAGTGTTCGATACCGATGTCAGTACAATGATTACATTTAATGATGTCAATTTCAATATGAAATATACACCATTGAGCAAGGTTTATTAAATGAATTATCAATATTAAAACAAGATAGTATGATAAATCTATATTTTTCGTACAGTAAAAACACGGTTGATTACAAACGGTTGCTACACGCAATAGCTCGATGTTTCTCACTTTCTCTATTGTAGTGTGTTCATTGAAATTAAAAATGTGTGTTATTATCATGGGAGCCCTCATGGGAGCTGCGGCGTTCACCCCATCAACAGATCCTCATTAACATAAACATATTGGACAAGAAATATTCAGCCCTTCATTGCCCACGCGTGCGGGTGTGTTCTGTTTATTTCTGTTTACTTCTACCGCGACGTGATCTTTTCCCGCGTAAAATTTCCCCGCTTCACAGCCGTTCTCATGGATTTTCCAAAATGAAAATTGATGCGCGGAATGAAATTTTAATGTGTCTATTAGGAGAAACATCAGCTGACATGGAAACGCCGAATATGTTGTTGTCAGTTTTCATTCGATGATGTCAAGTAACGTTGCCCAAACATTGTAGGGGGCCTCGCTGAAACCCGTGTGCTTTATTTTGTGTATTCATTAGTTGTATCATTCTATAACAGGTGATCAGTCAGTAATCAGGAAGCGGCGGATATAGCTCGCAATGAGAGACCACTCCGAGGACAGGAGCTGACAAGAGAACGGAGGAAAAAAGGGAACGCGTTCAATGTGGAAAGGGTTCTATTTACTTCAATTGTGTTTGATGATGGCGATATTTTAAAAGCATGGCGAGCACGAGCATCAGTAAGAGGGTTACTGATGAAGAACTTGAAATATTGGAACAAGGAGCTGCCGAGACGTTGAGCCGGCGATCATTCAATGTCGACGATTCCGACGACGATGGCGGGAATGACAAAGCCGGGGCCGGCGATGAAGAAGAGGATGATACGGGAGATGGAGGCGCATCTTCGTCCGAGAAAGAACAGTCAGACAAGGAAAAAAGGGGAACATTTAGCCGAATTGTAAGAACGGTCCAAGTAATAAAGGGCTGGGTTACGAAAAACGATGTTCAAGAACCGACAAAACGGGCGGACTCGTTCCTCGAGCGATTCACCAATGCGGGACCGAACAATCTCGACGACGGCATCGGAGGAAAGCATGCAGATTCCGGTCAAAGGTTTGTTGCATTTATTTTGTTAGAATTGAATCAAATGATTTTCTAATGCTAGAAAGTATTTTATTTGATTTTATCTGGTTTTCATTTTTTTCAATAACAAGCAACGTAGAGAATGGCGCTTATTAAAACTAAACCCTTTCATGTTCATTTATCGCGGGGGTTAGAGTTGCAGACATTAAATATGGCGGACTCCTAGAAAGCACGTTGCTGGTTTCGTCGTATAGGTTACGCGTATGTTCGACTGAAAAAAAACCCCGAAGATATGACAACTGGATGATAACCCTAAATTTAACGCCCCGCTCTCATGCGAAATTATATAGAAAAAAATAGAATACAAAACGCATGACGTAATTACGGAACTGAGTGCACGAGAGGTGTATTGTTTATGTCCTCTTTTAAAACACAGTGATTAGAGCCATCCACAAGTGGTGAGATCATATCTAACTTTCAGCGGATAAAAAAAAAAGAATCGATAACAGATCGACGATGTCAGTTGCAACACCTGTGTAAATTATCAGTAAAGACCCTACTAACCCAAGTCAATGCATCTGCTATCGTTCATATGTCATGTGTTGCACTACAGTAGAGTGAAAAAAATGGCGACTGCTATGCTATAGTGGCGGGAATAATGATGAACATTTTTGCTTTAAATTTGTCTCTATCAATTGAAATTCATGTATTACTTCACTCACAATAAGAGAGAATAATAATATTAAAACATCGCGTCGGTGTTTTTTGGCGGTTTCACAGAATTTAATTTGAAGTCTCTGTCGTAATGTTATCGTCTGCTTTTTGGTCGAGTGAGTTTCAATTATAATGACGCTCAGACAAGCCTAGCTGATACTGGAATACGTGCCATATTGCTCTTCAAATACGACAAATACCACTATGTCAGAGTGGTCTTTGTTCTCTATCGTATAGATGAATTCGGCGACCTTCCTTCGGAAGTGAATAAAGCCAACAGTGAAAATTACACGCCCAAGTATTATGGAAATGTGATGCTTGGCCTGAGCAGTGAATTACGTTAAGTACATGCTCTTGGCATCGTCATTAGAAATGCATTAACCCTGTCATCGCGACTATCCACGGCTAAATTGAGCTTAATTTCAGAATTCATTCACTGACTGTAACTACATGGTAGCAATCTTTTAGAAATTACTAGTGAGGGGCGTTCGTGAAATTCAAGATTCTCTTAAATGATTCGGGCCTTGATCGATCACAAAAGGATAACAACTGCTACGTCGTACCGCATAAACATCGTAAAAAAAGAGCGAGAAAATACGAAGTATATTTTGTTTGAAAAAAATCGTTTTAAGTAATCTTGTCATTAAAAGTACTGAGAACATTGTATATTCCAATGAAAACACGTCGAATTATTCTGTGATATGTGAGCACACACGCTGCGATGAACGCGGTTCTAATGGGTCTTCTGATTTTAAGTAGGCCTAGAGCACAACGAACGAATGATGCGTACACGACATGGAACCGTGATTTTCACTTCATTTTAAAGACGTTGTACACAATTACATCACGTCGATTTAATGCCATTTACATTAGTTACTAAAATGGTCACTTGCTATGGATAATTTTCTGATTTTTTTTCTCTACGAAACATGAAGTGCGCGCAGACTATACTAATAGAGCCGCCGTATAAAGAAAACACGCTTGTACCATTCCAATTATGGTCGGCACAGTGTAATGAAAATGTCAGCTCATTAACAAATCATTTGTTTGGCTTTTGTCAAACAAGTTATTTTTTTAAAAAAAAAAATAGATAAAAGTAAAATCAGTGAATACTATTCAGAGGTAGTATCTTTGATATTCAAAATACTTTTGTTTTTTAAGCTGATCGCGTTACGCAATTTCGCCGTTGAATGGGTAGTTTTAATTACATATTTACCCGGACTCGACGCGGATAAATATCAATATATTAGTGGTGCAATATATGAATAACAATGAAACAGTTAATCGGAATAATTCAACAAATGTCATAAATATTCAATTTTAAATGAATAGTTCAAATTGCCGACGCGGCACAACTGCAAATTGTAAATACATTGCCGTATCTCTTTTATGGCATGCTGGTTGCGGATGTTTTTTAATGCGAGTTTCGACTTGAGTGAGCATATTCTTAGTTCGTGCCTGCAAAATTAAGTTTCATTCCCAGTACAGGCTCCGCTACTATTGGATATTTCAAAAACTGGCACAATGCCTGGGGCTGAAACGAAACAATTCACTACAAAATAAAATGATATTGACTTTGAAGAGAAATGATTACCAATTTGTGCAATAAATAGAAATGATAATCTATAACACGGGTATGTGACTATCATGATGCGCATGCTCGGATCAACCAGGAGACCCGTAGTAATCGTTTTCTTTCGCAGAAGATGCAGATAATCTTGTGTTTTAATCTTTATGCAAATGAACGCATCACGTGACTTGTTTCTAACCGGAAAGCGGAGACAGAATGATACAGTGACTGTCATCAGGTTTATTCCTTCCACTGCTTGTCTGTCTAGTAAGCAGGCGATATCATGCATCACCAGCTCATCCCGAATTGCGATTAAATCACTGCTCTTCCTGCTATTTAAATTTGTCATTCAAATTTTACTTGTTGACTTTGGAATGAAAAGTTCTATTATAAATGTAGTAATGAGATAAATGAATGTCATCGCCAATTGAAATTAGCTTATCCCAATTAGCCTAATCACCACAGCCTTCTTCGTAACTAGTGACGCATAAAACAAAGAACTGAACATTATTCTAACTGACGTTCTTTCATATAGTAACGCGTGTAACTTCTTCAACCACTTCGGAGACGAGACGTTTTAGAGATTAAAAATGCAAGAGGTTAAGCGAGAGAGTTTCGTTGTATGCGCACACGTTTTAGTTGCCTCCAACTCGATCATTCTCGTTACAGCACACGACACAAATATTGCGATTTCGATGCTATAAGCCAGACCATCTGCGCACCTCACATTTAATACGCTTAGCCATTTTGCTTCGTATTAGCTTTCGTTCGCGCACACACAAGTTTTTAATTCGATTTTAGAATAGTTATGAGCTTATTAGATTATTCATCATTCCAAGAATAGCGATATCACAGTCTGTTAATATTTCGTCAGTTTTGTAGATGATTGAATTTTGTATTAGGTTCTGACCACTTTTGAATAAGAGTTTCCTCTCCTGGTAAACGTCGCCCGAATGAGGGATTTACATATATTTTGAAATAATTACCATACAAAACATTTGTGATGTGAACGTAATATAATCACAATAATAATAATAATAATAATAATAATAATAATAATAATAATAATAATAATAATAATAATAATAATAATAATAATAATAATAATAATAATATTTATTATAATCATAATAAAAATAATTTACTTTAACTTGACGTTCGAGCAATATTATTTACATTTCCAGACAATGAGCTGAATTTCCTTCCGGATATGACGTCGTCAACAGGAATCAAACGCCATATAAAATGTCAACATTAAATCCACGCAATAATTGATTTTGCTAGTCGAATCTTTCAGAGATTTGGTACTTGTTATCATGGTTTTAATGGAGAGTCTAAAACACTTGCATCAGTTTATACATCAGTTTATAAATGATTGTTTTGCGTGTTATTAATGCTTGTCGGTCATATTTTTAACTATCCCAGATTTATTTTCGTCGGTACCAATATGTGTTTTTTAACGTATTCTATTATTTTCACAACTGTAGGTGACCGCTTGGCGGACAATACAATACTCGCAGATAATGTCACATATTGCGTCACACGTATATCTTATTTGACGAGGAGAAAATAATAATAATACTGAAAAGCAAACAAAATGAGAATTAAGCAGCAGGGATTCTGAGTGTTGTTCTGTGATTAGTCATATTCGAACAATAATCACCTAGGCGACGAACAGACATGATCAAAATGCATTATGGTTGCTATGACAACGCGTGTCCATAATGACGAATTTTACCTAGAATGGTGATGAAGACCCGTACTTCATCCGTTAAAGTTCGCGATGTAGCTGAGCGACGTATACCGATATGGTGTTCTTTATATTTAATTTTATTCTTGGCCAGGCCACCATCATCAATATCCCACCTTTTTATTGCGTGTATTGTCGTTTTTTTAATCTCACAACGTTCGCATATTTTATGCTCCCAAGTGCAATAAAGTTGCGCAATATATACTGCACGTTACTGCCGTAAAATGGTAAGATGTCATATTGCAGATTAAAAATGGCGACCTATTTTTCAGCGGACCACTGTTTATCAGTATTTTGCACCGCGAAAACCGTGTTAAAAGCAATTATTAGACAGACGGCGTAATTGATACACACACGTATCATTTGGCGTGTTTCCGAGTACATGCCTAATAAGCGTTGCTAAAAGAACGGTATGGTATGTACATGTGAGCCGGTGTTTCCTGTAAGACAGTAGCGACACCGTCTAATGTGACCTCGGTGTTATGATAACCGACAGTTTAATGAAAATTGGACTAAAAGCTCTATTGTTCCGCCACACGCGAAATATGGCTGCCAACTAACTGATCACTTCGTTTGTGTCAGTTGTACTTACATATAGCTTGGGGCGGATAACGTGCATACACTGGGCTATTCCTTCCTTTGCAAACGCTCCGACTGACGTGACTTTTCAAAGCCTTTTAATATCCCAACAGTTAGTATAATAAAACTCTACTCAAATCATTCAACTTACTATCGTCATTTTGACGAGTAATAATCAACCAGAAAAAGTAATAATAATTGCCCAGGATTCGGAAAAAAAACACCGCGAAATGATACGATGATCAACAAAAAAAAAGAGTGAAGCTCGTGTGTTCTAAAATGAGTCTTTATAACAGCAAGACAGCAAGCACGGATATCGCCAAAATGACAGCCATTTAAAAAGTGCTGAAGGTGACTTGCGAGGTTGTAATTTGGAGCTGAAACGATTTAAAATAAATTGCGCATGACATGATTCAA